AAATAACCAAGACGAGTACAAATAGACCAGTTTTTATAGCCAAACCTATAAAGGATGGGCTTGCCATGAATATGTTGTTTTGTCCCATGTTTCCCGAAGTATGGTATCATGGATTCGTCAATACTTAGATTCCTATCACCAGGATAATATTTTACCCATCTATTATTGAGAAGATTCCAGAGAGGACGAATCTTTGCGAACTTATCCTGTGGATCCAAGTTAGTATTATCGGCGACGTGAAAGAATCGTAACAGTTCTTCGAATCTATTCCTAGACATAGCAGCTGCCACACCTTGAAAATTACAATCAACACTTTGCTCCCAATACATTCGATATCTATCTAGCAACACTGTTGTAACCCGATAACAAGAGAATCCCTATAAATCGTTTTATTTCTTCAGTTGTAACTTTGAAATTATGGAAATCTTTTTGTATTGCATTTTTTTCGGTTTCAGAGCGAATCAATTCAAATACGTCTTTGTCAAAAAAAAGTTCAAGAAAGTGCACAGGAGTATCTAAATTTTCTAAAAAATGTGGTGGCTCTGATATTTTTTCTGGCTTTACTGGTATGTCTACTTGCCTCCATTTGCGGGTAGCTGGGCATTTTTTTTTCTTGGCTGGTGGTTGTACTGCTAAATCGTCGTTTGTGTTATTTCAAAGTCAAAGTCAAAGTCAAAATCATTTATTTCAATTAGGCCAGAATGGCACTTTTGAACGTCAACAAAAACAAAAATTTAAAGTGAAGCTATTTGCTCATTCCAAGGCGTAGATTCCTATGGAGAAGAACGAGCAAGAAACTCCATAGGTTACTCTTTTTCAATCAGGTTCACAATACAATTTACTAGTTACATAGTTTTGCTGTTTGGATTGTGCGAGAACAATGTAACACTAAAATCCAGTCAAAGTGATCAAAAAAGAAAATAACCTTAAGGACAGTAATACAGTCTGGAGCTGACCAGTCCCAGTTGACGGCGCCCGTTCACGAACATGACACGTACACCAGCACCGCCCAACTCAACCATATTGTAGGGAATCGAGCGATCCACTGCACGCGCCACCGCCAATGAGACCTTTGAGTGAGCATGACAACTCCAAGCTGACACAAATGAAATCTACTAATCTAATTTAATATTAAGTTAATTACAGGGCTCTCACATTTACAATGGTTATCTAAGTTAAACAATATACAATTTAGCAATATGGCTGTATTATTTACGATTTCATTAAAACAAGTGTTTTTAGTTATCCTGTGGAGCCGGACTAGCCTGCATCCAAGCATTTTTATCCTCTATATATTCATTAAGTTTGTAATATGCTTGTCTACATAAAGTTTTCTTTATACATAATTTAAATTTCGATTCATTTAGTTGTTGTACATCTATATTATTTGTATCATTATTATTTGTAGAATGTTCATTTGATATGTCTTCTATGATATCTAAATTAGATTGTGAAGATACAGTAGCCCTAAATTCAGCCTGTGCTAAAAGTTGCTGCCTAGAGAGGTGATTTATATTCGATGACTCCTCATCTCCACTGTCTTCATCACTTTTGTCATAATTATCTGGGGGTGTTATATAGATTACCGCAGACAATACGTCATCTCTGTCTTCCAGATGCGATATTATTTCATTTACCGATAATCTACAACAAAATAAACGCAAAATAATAAATAACAATTATTTTACTACATAAAACGTTCCATATCCATATTATCCTACTGATCCATTATCGGATCGGTAAACATAAAAGTAAAAAATAAATGTAAAAAAGCTAAACTTGCTTTTCACTGTCTTACAATATGATAACTCAATACCTAAGCGATATAAATACGATACAATAATTGTTAATTATTCATAAAAAAGTAATAAATACTTACATTCGCCGATGAGACATATTTTTTACAATTTTATCAAAATGCAGAGGGTAAGAAAACACAAATTTCGCGTCTGACGGAATATCTGACAAATGAATTTGGCGGCAAGAACTATCAGTGCTACCAACATAACAAAAAAAAAATGGCTGCGTTCACGAAAATTTTATAAAAAAATAAAAACGTAACCGATCCAAAAATAGATCACTGGGATGATACGGGATGATAAGGTCATTCCAAATTTCCAATGGATTTTCATTGAGTCTTCCTACTGGACTACGTAAATATATAGTCAGCTCGTCAGCAATAGAGCCGTCGGTCTTCGTAGTTTTCCAGTTCTTACGGACTAATTTATGGTGATCTTCCTATAAAGAAAAGTTATCTTCTGGTTTCTCCGAAGTATCCGAAGAATCTGATTCTAACTCAGTTTACTGTAGTTTTCATTTAGTCTTTGATTTTTGTTATAGCTGTAGAGGCGGATTCGTGAAATGCATTTTCTTAAACCTTGGGTCCAATACTGTAGCTATGGCGAGAGGTGTCACATTCTCTATTACACCCATTCTCTTGGCAACCTCTCTTAAGATTAGCGATTGCAGATCTTTTCCAAGAGAATCTTCGAGCTGAAGAGATTCTACTTTAAAAACAAGGCAACGGATAAGTGGAATCACCTTGCTGCTAGTGCAGTACTTATTGTGTCGCGAGCTTTACTTTCATTTTTTGTTTTTCGAAAAAAAAATGTACGCCTTTGTAATTTTTGTCCCCAGATGAAGGCCTTGGTTTTCTTGTAATTTCAAGTTTTTCTAAGTAGCTAAACTCGATTTTTCTACCAGACGAGTCTTGAAAGACTTTTAATTCACCTAATGTGTTACGTATTAACTTTACCGCATGATACGGGTCAATAAAGGCGTGGATCACATTATTCTGGCTACTTACAAATTTTGTACATTCCTGGCTTCTAGAAACGTCGCAGCCAAGTAATGAGTACATACTAAAATTCGCTGCCATCCCATCCCAAGTTACCGATACAACTATACACCCCGTATCTTCCGTTAATTTAATAGCTGTTTCCACAAGAAGGCATTTTTGTTCTCCAGTTACCGATGTAACAAAAAAATATCCTATAGGCAATTTCCATGATCCATGATGATGATACACGTCAAAAGAAGTACCAGACACAGACTGGCTTCTTCTGAAGAATCACAGGAGTCTACGTTGTGACTGTAATCGACACGTCTATGATATTTTAGGGACTTTGGATCCCATATCAAGCCCTTTCTAATAGCCATTTCATCTAATGATATCGCACACAACACTTTTTGTGAGCCGCTCTGGTGCACCTTTTTTTTAAGGTGTCAAATGCATCTTGGGTAAACCCAGGTTCGGTGTTAACATTCTGGTACCATTTCGTCAAGGTACGGGGATGAGGCAAATACGTGTTATAAACTCTTCTTATATAGTCATAGGCTTTTGGGGATAGAAAGTATAATGTTAGTGCAAATTTTCTTATTTCTTCAGAGTACTTTCTTTCCAATGGCAGGCCTTTGACAAACAGACACAGACAAAATTGATTGCTCTGTGTTTATAATTACTTTGTTTTTTAAATCTGTAATAATGTCTTGCATACTTGATATCTTTTTGCCTTGGCGACGAATTTTCTCCCTCAATCTCTTAATTTTTCTTTACTGTCTATCGCATATTTTTTTGCATTTTAACAATACTAGATGGCTGAAGATGTACCTGCAAAAAAAATATTTACTACGAATGGAGCGGAACAAAAAAAAAATGAACTTACAAGTATAATTGAAAGTAAAGTATGTAGAGTAGGAAGTTGGGGTTGACTTTTTCCGGCCGACAAAGTAAACAAACAGCGTTTACGAGGACGAAGGGCGGACCTCTTTTAGTATTTAAAAAAAATGACCGAAGTCGTAGTTTAATTAACTTAACTAAAGAGGTTTCTGGTAATCATTCCAAGTAGGACGTGATTCCAAAATGCAACTTTAGGTCAGTCGTACATTATTCGATGAACACGCCGGAGGGTCATTAACTCACGGAGAATCTTAACACCGCCATCTAATTTTTGACGTCACGCTACAGGTCCATCTATCGGTGAATATCGGAACTACTGTTTATGTTAGCGCGCGGTAGGCCGTATAGATGTCGCAAGTGCATGTCGCCTCTTTGCGAGAATACTGTAACATCTCAAAAAAGGCAATTTTACAGGACGCGTATTTTAAACTTTCGAAATGTTATAAAATCTAAAATAATAGAGCTAAAGCAACAAAACCTTCTAGTGATTTATAATTTAACTATTAATTCATCTAAAACTATAGTAATTGTTGCGCTATTGGCTATTTTTCGGTATAAATTAACAGGATTAAAAAAAAGGGATATTTTGTCACACTATTACTGAAAAAGTTTTCAAGGATCGATGTGACATATGAACTTGTCACATTGTTGATAATATATTTTTTTGTGTTGTGTTAGGTTATATGATAAAAACACTTTTTAGAAATAAAAATGTTTATTAAATCAATGAAAAATTTGTAGGAAAAGAAAATCAAGCATAAACATTAGTCATTATAACGTAGGTAGGATATACAGTTACCTACTTAAATACAGTAATTCAACAGTTAACAATCAACAAAGTTAACAAAATGAAACTATAGCTATCAGTTCTTAATTAAAAGTATACTGTTATTACTAAATTTGTTATTATTATTTTAGATCTAGCTAACCAATCAGTCTCTTCGTAACATTAGTCTTTGTAAATAATCACTAGGTTTATTCTAAACCTACTTTAGGTGGACCATAATCTATATTTTAACTAAAACAAAACCATCTCAATAAGAATAATAATACATACTAAAAATATTTTTATTCATATTGAGATAGGTTTTAAAAATAAGTATCTAAAATTATAAGTATTATATACTTGCAAAATGTATTAAAAACTTGAGTATTTATCATTAAGTACTATAAAATTACGACTTAGGAACTTTTCATTATAAAATATCACATAGGTATTGTACTTAAAGGAACCGACGTTTCACTTATCTCACATAAAGTAATAAAAAATAATTGTTATAAAAATTACAAAAATAGTATAAAAAATAAAATAAAAACATTCTTAGAGCGATTCGTAAAAGCTCCTATGAACTCCGGGAATTAATTTCTTATTAATCAAATCCATTAGGTCCGATTTTTTTCGTTCAGCTAACCCGGGTTTATTATTATAGAGATTTTTTATTTCTATATTGTTGTTTCTCTTTTTTCTCAAAACGACGGCTTTTTTAAAGTCCGTTTCAGCATAAGAATTTTTATAAAATATAGCATTTGTATCATCTTTACTAACTCTTATTACTCTTACTTCTGGTAGTTTAACTACATGGTTATCTTCATCTTTTGTTAAGTTAAAATTATTTTGATTACACACACTTTTCCAATCATAAAAATCTTCGAAACACATTTCATTGACGTGTATTGGCTCACTCTTTACTTTAGTTGGGGTGATGTTGGAAGTGGTTGGCTCTATTGGCATAGTGGTATCATTCCCAACTACGAGCGAATTATTCTCTGTTGCGACCAGATCTATCTGATTTGTATGGTTAACTATTATGTCTCGATTTTCTGCTGAATTACTTACCAATAACATGTCAACTTGCTCTATGGTGTCAACTGAAGCAATATTATTATTTAAATTAACTCGTCGAGTACCGGTTTTATAGACACAATTAAAGAACAATAGGTCGCGGTCACCGGTGACCGCTTGGTGTTTGACAGTTTAAACAAGTCTTGGTCTTTTGAGAAGTTGTAGTTAGTGCTGGCACCTTCTTCTTCAGAGTCTGAACTATGTATATTATTAATTTTTGACTTCTCCTCTTGATAATTGGGAATCATCACTATCTGGGGAAAAGTTAAAAGAAAATTAGTCCCAAATAATTACGTTGCAAACGTTCGGCATCCGAAATGCACAGAATTGAACACAAATTATTACATAAATTGAATAAGTGCATTTATTAAGAAATAGTAGTCTCTGCCTACCCCAATGGGAAAAAGGCGTGACAATAATAATGTATGTATGTATTAAGAAATATAATAAATGCATTTATATAAAAACTTACTACCTTCATAAAAAGATGGTCCACTGCTTGAGGAGGAACTCGAAGAAGAACTCGAAGAGCTACTTGAAGAGCTACCGGTACTACTAGTTGACTCACGTCGACGATGTTTTGAGTCATCGTTACTTTTGTCTAAAAGAAATATAAATAATAATAACTTAAACAATAGAAAAACTTTATGAAAAATAAGTAAAATCGAGGTGTTTACATAATTATCTGTAGAAAACACACTAAGACTCCTTATAATGTTGCTCAATTTGTTTCTTCTTCTCAGCCGATGGACGTCCACTGCTGGGCATAGGCCTCATGTATGGATTTCCAATATTGGAAATCCAATTTGTTTAAAATCTATGAAAATGTAAGCACCTAAGTTCGTTTCGTATTAATAGGTACTCATTTTAAATAACTACATGACAACAGGCTCGCCCCTTGTTACATGGGACCGAACATAGGTGGCATTTAGTCTTTACAAAAATATTCTTTAAAAACCAAAATTATTAAGTCTTACCTTCTGGAATCATTGCGTTTATATTAGAGTCATCAACTTCCTCGGCTTGGATACTGGAACTATCATTTACGTTACTATCAACTACGTTTTGCATAGTTGCTAAGTGTACTAATTTTCTGGACCGCGATCCCATCTGAAAAAATAAATATTTATAATTCATTTGTTTTAGTATTTACAACGTGACATAACGATTTAATTTACAAAAAAACTTATAATTTATCTAGAAAAAAGTAACATTACAAAATACTCCGAATCCATTTTATGGTTTGTAAAATATTTCATTGTCAACAACGCGTCATCTTATGATGTTACAAAACAAAAACGATATCTTTTCAACGAAAACGTGATATCAAAAGTAATAACAAGTTAAAATTGCATACTATTTTCAACAAAACTGTGTCAATTCAACATATCACATTACTTAATAAAAAAATATCAAAGAGTTCAAACTTACCTTAGCAATCGTAATGTGGTATCTTCGTGATGTCACGTTTTTGCACAAATACGAGAGCGCCCTTCCCTCCAAATGGCACGCGCCGACTGATGGGACACGTTGTCGAAACAAATCACGAGGCAGAAAGAGACAGCGCGACAACACAAAATATTGCAGTTGTCTTGTCTCTTTCGCTCATAGATGCACCGTTATTGTCAAAAAAATACCTCGTTTTTATCGAAAATAAAGTTCAATACGGCGGTTTTGATTATGGAATAAAAAAAAATTGATTTTTCTGAAATATCACAGTATTCTTGCAAAGAGGCGATGTGTTTATTATTATGGTAAATGATTGTTACAAGTATTAATATTTCTCATGAAAACTAAAGTGGCTGTAACAAATAAATTATACCAACCAATTTTTTTCTAAATCTATTTCCTATCAAAGAAAATTAAAATAAAACCATTTAAGGCAAAACAGTTCTTGTTACATAAAAAAAAAAAACAATTTTGTCGACCATTGTTATTTTGCCGCGTGCTAATAGTTCGTCATCGCTGGCCTAGTACTACCAGATTAAACAGACGGCAACATGGTCACAGAACAAAACATCGTGCTCATCTCACAAACATTTTTCTTGAGCTGGGAACCGAACTCACGACTTCCAGCATAAGTCAGGGCCATTGACCACCAATCTGGTGGTCTTTCAAGATTTTTGTTATAGTTTCTTATAAAATTAAAAGAAAGATAACTTATTTATTCCGCGTAAATAGAGAAACACTTATAAGAACAAAACAAAAAAAAACAAAAATATAAAACTTGTTTCCCTGTTTTTTTTTTAAATTAAAAATTATGTATTATTTTATCATTTTGTAAGAGGCCTAAGTTGCCTATGGAGGTCTAATTTAAATTGTAAGTAAATAATAATAATTTATTTTTAAGTTAAAAATAAAGGTAGACTTTGCCACAACTGCACTTTTCACTATTCATGAGCACTTGAGATGTCAAATTAGAAAAATTTTAGCAACTTACTGCTGACCAAGATGTGCTCGGTATCGCTTCCTCAGAAGTAAAAGATTTGGGTTCAATCTGGAAAAGCAAAATTAAAACAGACACCACGAATGCCATCATCTTATTTTTTCCAAATCAAATGTTGGTTGTAAAAACATTTACTTCTTCATAAATCTTATCCAGGTGTTTCACTGATAAGGGTGATTGAGTCATCATGGAGGACGCCTGTACTTCCTGGTGTTTCACTGGTAAGGGTGGTTGAGGTACCATGGAGAAGACTGTTCTTCGACATTTTTGATTTCACACAGAACCAGTCCTTGTGTTTTTTTTTGAAGGCTGAAAGTATTTTTTTGTATTATTATTAATCGAAATGATTATTAATATCTCATATTTTTTATCACTAGAGTTAAACATAAAATTGTGTACAGGTATTTAATAATATTAAATTTGTCGTAGCTCTGTCGGGTTATTTTAAATTAAAACAGAAGACTGCACAATTAATAGGTTTAATTTCTACATAACAGAATCAAGACCGGCTCACACCGATACAAAGAAATGCCCGAATGCTATGGCTGGCGTGTGTCGATGAAGAAGAAGCGCGGCGCTCGCGCGGCCGTGGGTTTTTATACCCCGTCCCGCGCGTCGCCGCCTCTATGGTCGATGGCCATACTAATGCGCCAACATATTCCCCGGGTTGAAGAGTTTTCTTCAATCTTGGATTGGAAGTGGGCAGATGCTGTTGAAACCACGACGAATGGTGCCCTTCTTCGTCCTGATTTCTGCCACTCTCGTGACCCCGTCGACGCCGGGATAGGTCATGGTGACCCGACCCAGGGACCAGAGCAGAGGTGGTGCAGTTTTGTCCTTGATCAGGACTAAGGACCCTGGTTTCACTTCACCTCTTGAATGGAACCACTTGGATTTCGCCTGAGGAGAAGGCACCGATAAGAGTGGTCGTCCAATTAGGAAGTGGGAAGGAGTAAGTGCCGAAAAATCGTTAGGGTCCGAAGAAAGAGGAGTGAGAGGACGTGAGTTTAACACCGCCTCTATATGTGTTAGACAAGTAGTCATTTCCTCAAAGGTTAAATGAGTAATATGCAGCAATCTTTTTAAGTGGTGCTTACACGATTTTACAGCAGCTTCAGCCAGTGAATTAAAGTGTGGGCTGTATGCAGGCGTGAAAACGAATTCAATGCCCAGCTGCGCTATTTCAGTTGCAACATCAGACGATTCCAAGAACCTACGCATCTCGTTCGATGCACCTACAAAGTTTGTCCCGTTATCGGACGTGATACTTCGAGGCTTGCCTCGACGCGCCACGAACCGATTTAAAGCGGCCATGTAAGCCTCGGTGGTGAGGTCGCTGACGAGCTCCAAATGAACGGCTTTCACTGCTGAGCAAACAAAGATGCACATATAAGATTTTGTTAGTTTGCAACCACGGCCTTTACGATTGGCCACCAATACTGGTCCCGCGTAATCAACGTAACTATACAAAAATGGAAACTCAAGCTGAGTTCTAGAATGGGGTAAGTGACCCATAATTGGCTGTATGCTTTGAGCCTTGTGTCTGCAACACCTGAGACATTGATTCACCACAAGTCTAGACAAGTTTCTGCCACCTAACGGCCAATAAGTCTGTCGAATGTGCGACAGTAATAATTGTGGACCAGCATGTGCAAGCTCTAAATGTTGCATGTGGAATATAAGCTTAGTTAGAACATGTTTACTGCATAATACTATTGGGTGCTTAATATTAAAATCATAGGGAGAATTATCAAGCCTTCCGCCCACGCGGATGAGGTTATTATCGTCTATAAAGGGAGACAAGGGCAACAGCCTACTTTTGCGCGGCAATTTCTGACCAGATACTAAAAAAATATACTCTTCATGAAACATTTCAAGCTGTGAAAAGTGTATAATTAAATGTAATGAATTTTCAAGTTCTGAAACAGAAAGATTGCCACACAATTTATTTTTATTTTTTAGATTATAAGTAAATCTAAGTACATAAGCTAATATTTTTTGTATTTTTGTTAGACTAGAATATCTTATTAATACTGTATGTATAATTGATGTATGAATGGTTGTATCAGAATGATTATTAATATTAGAATGATTCACATTACTATCATTTTTAATGAGATGAGTCACTACTTCCGGCATATTATCTCTCCCTGTGTTGGGTATTTTGGGCCACTCGGTTTCATCATGCTTCAAAAAGGAGGGCCCAGACCACCAGAGGGGTGTGTCGTTAATGACGTCTGCCCTAAGACCACGGGAAACAAGATCCGCCGGGTTGTCCTTCGACGGTACGTAGCTCCAGGTATGACCAAACGTGATTTCTTGAATTTCATTGACTCGGTTTTTAACAAAAGGTTTCAATTGACTAGAGTTAGTAGAAAGCCAAGCTAGAACTATGGTTGAGTCACACCAGAATCTACATTTGTGAATGGGTATGGTAAGCGATTCCTGAACCTTAGCACACAGCCTTGCACCTAACAAAGCTCCGCAAAGCTCAAGTCGCGGTATCGTTGTAGGTTTGATAGGCGCTACACGGTTTCTAGAGACTAGAAGCTGGACGCCCATAGATCCATCACTACTGCAAGACCGAATGTACACACAAGCGCCATACGCCTTCTCAGATGCATCTGTGAAAGTGTGTACTTCATGAATAACGGAATCTTCACGCAAAACCCAACGAGGAACTTTAACCTATTTAATGATGTTATGCTACTCACAAATGTAGACCAAATATTTTGAATGTCGAGCGAAACTACGTCGTCCCAGTCATATTTTTCTAGCCATAGACGCTGCATGATTAGCTTTGCTTCGACGACGCATGGACCAACGAGGCCTAATGGGTCAAAGATTTGACTGATAACAGAGAGGACATGACGCTTGGTGACTTTTGTAGTAGAAGTGATATTAATTGAATATGTTAGAGTATCTGAGTCACATACCCAGATAAGCCCTAGGGTTTTTGATGGAGTAGGATACGTACCTTGCTCCGAAAAATGCAATCTATTATGTAACACGTTACTATCAGTAATTTGATTATGAATTTCAGGATGATTTGATCGCCATTTACGTAAATTAAATTTAGCAGAAGATAGAACCGTTTGTACCTTTTTTGCGATTTCAATTGTCTCAGCTATAGTTTCAACTAAGAAAGTCATCAACGTAGAAGTCACGTCGTATGGCAGATTGGACACGCTCGTCCTCAATGTTATCAGCCAAAGATACTAGACACTTAGTGGCTAAGTAGGGAGCTGAAG